GCATTAATTCCGCATTAGCCTGCTGTGGGGGTAGAGTAGTCGTACAAAATTCTGAGTTCTGTGACAGAGAAAACACTGACCAGCATTTATCTTGACCCAAGTCAAACCCGCAAGTTTGGGTGGTTTAGATGCTGTTTACAGAGCAGTCAAAGAGAGAGGAAAGAACAACATATCACGTAAACAAGTCCGAGAATGGTTGAGTCAGCAAGATGTTTATACTCTTCACAAGCCCGCGCAAAGACGCTACAAGAGCAGTTGAGTCATCGTTCCAGGAATAGATGCCCAATTTCAAGTGGATTTGGTCAATCTTCAAAATCTCAGTCGCTACAACAAGGGTTATAAACACTTACTGACTGGTATAGATATCTTCAAGTACGCTTTTGTGTGAAGACAATACAAGGTCAAGAACTGGTCAAAGCCTTTCAAAAGATCCTTTCTACTGGTCGCAAACCTACCAAACTGCAAACAGATCAAGCAACAGAGTTCCTGAATGGTGTGTTCCACAAATTTCTGTGTGACAACAACATTGACTTTTTCACTGTTCACTCTGGGCTCAAACCCTCTGGTTGAGTGTTTGAACCAAACATTTAAGAATAAGATGTACAAATATTTCATGGCCAAAAACACTCTCACCTATATCAATGTATTACCCGAATTAGTATCTTCTTACAATAACACCTACCACTAAAGTATTAAAATGAAACCGCGTCAGATGACTAAAGCGAATGAAGCTCAAGTGTGGGATACTTTGTACGGGGATGATGTTAGAAAGCCTGTGCGATTTAAATTTCAAGTGGGAGATCGTGTCAGGATTATCAAAGTAAAGAGAATGTTTGAAAAATCTTACCTAATTTTACAGAAGAAAGTGTTACTGTTTACAAGCGAATGGATCGTCAAGTGCCCGTTTATAAACTAAAAGATGATCCAGGTGAAATCTTAGATGGAACATTTTATGAGCCTGATTAAGAACGATGATGTGTACCGCGTCAAAAAGATCTGGCGGAGGAGAAAGCGTAAAGGAGTAGTAGAGTACCTTGTGAGATGCAAAGTTTCATTCTTGGGTTCAAGAAAGTGATATTTTGAATTGTAATTTATGCATTTTTTTTCTGTAGTGAATAAAAGAAAAGGAAATAAAGTGAATGGTGTACTTTCGTGGAGCGAGAGAACTCCGAGTCGACGGCTTAACTATGTATACAGTTGTTTCATTCAATGGGTGTGAAGGACGTTTCCATGCAAGATATCGATATAGCCGATCGGGTTCCTGCTCGTAAAGCTTCAAGTCGACCGAACCCCATCATTTGCAAGTTTGTTAGGAGACAAGTCAAAGACAGACTGATGGCAGCATGGAAAGAGGTTTCTAAAGTCACCCCGAGTCAGTTGGGTTTACTTTAATTGTAAAGTGCTCTTCGAAATATTAAAAGACAAAGATGATTACCTTGATGCAACCATGATAGTAGTATTATTAGTATTTACACTCTCCGCTGTCTTCTGAGTACCATTCACGCTTGTGGTTCCATACAGACTATTCATTTTTCTGATTTGCGTTTTATTATTCATGTGATGCCCAACGACCAAACACAGAGCAAAGGTTCGTCCCTTCCGGCTGAAGTTGATCTTCAGGTGATAGTGGAGGCAACTCAGCAGCCGTTGATCAAGTCTTTTCCATGTTTAAGGATTTTTTTGAGAAAAAAAATAGAAGGTAAAGGAAAGCAAATCGAACAAAGGAGTAAGCTAGGGAAAGAAGTTGTGCAGCTGAAGTTAAAAGGGAACCAGAAACAATTTGAACTTAATGCCAAATTAGATGCTTGCTTGGTTGCTAGGGCTTTTACTCCCAAACCTCTCAAAAGTGAGCATTTTAGGCCATAGACAGAAGTAGAATGCATTGAATGTAATGAGACGTGGCACGACAGTAGGTTGATAAAATACCCATTTATTGTGTTTATTTAATCCCATGTGGCTGCTATTGTGATGTCATAAATGATGTCCAAATTTGACATCCGAAAGAAATTCAGGAAAGAAATGGTAAAAATTGACTATTAGTTTCCTCCATAAAATTCTGTGATTTCTGGTGAAAACCACATCTCAATCGGATAAAAAGGCGTAAAGAAATTCAAATTTCCCACTAAATAACCATATATGGTCAAACTTTACGAGTATTTAAACCCGAAAACAATGAATGTAGTCGCAACGGAGAAAAGACAAAGTTGCATAAAACAAATTAATTTAATGTAATCTCAGTCAAGAGTGATCCCTGTGTTTTCAACTTTGAGCTCATTTGTTTCTCATTTTGCATAGCTAGACTTTTCCCAACCCAAACCACCTTCGTTACTAATATGACAGCATAATCGTCTGCTTTGATCTAATCGCTGTTCGTGAATGCAGAATTCCCCAGTTTGTGCATGATTGGAAATAATTGCTAGAGACATTGTGAAAGAAAGTGTTTGCTGCAGCACCTCTGATTTCTGTTTGAAATGCACACTAGGGATAAAGACATGTTCAAAATTAGTTTCGCCATGACTTCCTATTATCCCACTGCTGCAATCAACTGCGCTGATAAGTGTTAGTTTTGTGTTTTTCAGGGCGCTACAGATTTTTTAAGCTGCAGAACATTGATAACTGAAGGAGTTTATTTTGGGGGGGGGGAATCAGGCGATAGCATCAACCATCTAAATAGTCACTCAATGCACCTACGTACCTAGGTCAGGATTTCCAGTGTAAGTGATTATCGATGATTTGTATTTTAAAATTTCATGGCACATTTCTAGTTCATTGAAAACATGACAGTTTAGTCGCCTACAGTGGGATAGCGAATCTGAATGTCCACGTACTATATATGCCACTACATACAGCAGTTTATATCACAAATGCCACTATCAGATGACAAACATGATGACACCAAAACAATGAAATTAAATGGCACTGCAGAAATATTCAATTATGTGCAACAAGAAGTACATCATCTCAGAGGTCATAAACCAGAGTGACAGCCACTGTGACCTTGTTGCCTGTAGGGAGTGTGTGCCAGAAAAATTGCTTTCATTGCTTCCAAAATTATATCATGTTGGACTACAAACTGAACATAAATATTATTGTTATTGCCACTGTATTATTATTACATCAATAATTTGAGCAATATTGGGTTACGATTTAATGTATTCAGAACTTATCACCAAGAGTTCAGTGTTTGCAGTCAGCTCTAATGTGATTCTGTTATCCGGTATTAAGTAACGCTCCGGACATCAGCGATAGCACCAACGGCAAAAAAATGCACGGAATGTTTTTTCAACCATAAATAATTGGCTTAACTAATTAAAATGCAGCGTTCTGATTGGCCGAAATCCTTTCTTCTACGATTTTTTTTACGATTTTTACCGATTTCATCCTCGTAGACATCGAAAACTGAAAGAAAACGTCACGAAACATTGTTATACTTGTTCGTGCAAAAATCGTAAGTGAGGGTCCCAACATTTGCGAAGCTGAGAGCTCATGTTACACTCGCGTGGTAGCCATATTGTGAGTCGATGGTGTTTTTCCCTTTTGGTGGAGCTAAAACGTGCTTAAATTTGTAAATATTACTTCTTAGTTGTAAATAGTTGTATATAGTTTTTTATCTCAATCTGCGAGGGCTCCTCGATGCCGTTTGTTTTGTCTTGTTGCTGTTCTCGTGATGATGAATGGAAGCATGTTGCTGTCAATTCCAACCATTTGCGGCAGTGCACACGAGAAGAGGCCGAAATCTTCGATTTTGCTTCAAAAGACCCGAAAAACAAAAATCGCAAGAGAAAAATTTGCATTTCTTGCTGCTCACGACTGCAAGTGGAAGAGAAGTGTAGTAAACTTGAGGTAAGCTCAAACGTTCTTGATTCACATGCCACCTTTTGTGCTTGAAATGCGCGTCGGTACAGTTTATTAGGCACGATTTTGAAATTGCGCAGTATGAATTACCCTTTCCTTTATCAGGATTACATCCGGCCAACTACAGGTTATTGGCGTTGCCTTTTGTTTACTATATAGGCAGTACTCTAACTGACATTATTCATGCTGAAATCCACCATTTTGCAAATGCGGCAAATAAAAGATTTGGGAACTGGAATTTTCAGATATTAGGTGAAAGAGTACTGTCTTAAAATCTGATGGATTTAGCTGAGATCCAAAAGTTATAATTGTATTTTAGGATATTGCAATATGTTTGCCTGCCTGTAAAATCTTGTCAGAATTACACCCTTCAAATTCTGCTATAACTTATAATGGGATGACCTATTTTCTTTTTTGTGAACCTACCCAATGGATAAGCAGATTCTTCCCACCTTAATTTTTTGTTAACACCCTTTGATAAACTTTTCATATGGCCTCATTTTGCTAGCCGGCGAAACACTAACGTATTTCCAGTCTTAGCTTCTCTACCTCCAAAAAATAACGGGTGGGGAGAAATGAGAGGACGCGAAATAAATCTGTGTTTCGCAGGCTAAATTTTTTCAGGGCCCTTGGAAATTGGATTCCTACTACACCTGCAGTTATCTCGATCCAGAGGTTACTCAACCGTAGGAGGTGGATTAGGATAAACCTGGAACATCCTATAATGTATTGTTATGGCAGAATATAAATACAGCATGTATCTAAAAAGGTCTTAGCCTTGTTTAAGAATCCATCTCTTTGCAATCCCTTACCGTGAAGTCTCTGCATTCACCTTACATGCACAATGCAACAGGGTTGCCAAAGACCAGGAAGTGGTTAGGGAAAGCCAAAATACTTAAAATTTAGAAAAAAATGAGAAATGTTATTTTGAGTCCTGACTGAGTGCAAAACTATTTCTGTTTTTTTTTATTGTTATTCACTCTTCACTGCTTACAATATGATACCCATTACATAACCAGACATAACTGGATATGATAACATCACTTTCTGACATGTACATGTATTTATTTTTTTCCAAGGATGTGTACTCCAGACTTGAAAACGATGTTGCCAGGTCAGGCGCGCAAGTTAATTTGGATGATTACATGCCTGTACCAGTAATTTCGTGTGTTAAGGTAGATAAAAGCACACAGCGACCCATTGTTCCAGAAGTTCCCTACAAAAATCAATGTGAGCGTGGGCAGAGAGGACTTAGGGGTGAAATTATTGACAACTTGAGACAAGTAGCTTTGAGAGCTGTACACTTTGAAGAAACAGACTTGCCTCAATTAGTTGCTGAAATAGTTGGGAGCAAGAAATGGATATCCTCCGTTGGTTTCAATGTGTCAAGTACAGAGAAAAATCCAATCTTGGAATCTCTTATAAAGGACTACAAAGAGTGCATGTCCAAAGAAAAGACAAGTGAGGTTAGGAAGAGGGCTGCAGCTCAAAAGGCAAAGTTGTTTATTAGCTCAACTTTAAAAGATAGTAGATTGACATTGACAGGTGAAAAAACACCACAAACATTTTGGAGCAGGGTTGTTGCTACTGAATCTGTATGAAGGATCACTTACTATGCAGATGAAAGGAGAAGACTGTTGTCCATTGTTGCAATGGATTACCTCTATCGATTTCTGCAAGAACGGTTTGGCTGCTCGCCAAACACGGTTACTGCTGGAAAAGTTCATGTGATCCTCTTTGGTCGTGGTGGGACCCCACCATCTAAGTTTAAGTCCAACGACAGTGTGTGAGTTCAGCTGTTCTTGAGGAACTCTCAGAATTCTTCTTGAGGGATGTGTCAAGACCTTCATCCTGCAGGAGCATTATTGTTGATGGTCAAGAAACTCCAGTCAGATATTGGAAAGATAGCATCAAGAACCTGGTGAACCAGTACCTGTTGGAGTTCCCTAATGGTGTAAAGAGAACTTATATTTATAGCCATCTGCCACCAAGCTTCCATTCTGACACAATGTTGGCAGCACTTTGCAATCTGTGTGACAATTATGGACATTCTAATTATGACAAGATGCAATCTTCATTGAGTGACATCGAACGAAGTGCGTCTATCTCACTGAAAGAAGAGAAAGCAAAGGTCACAAAGCACCAGCAGTTCCTTAAGAGGCAGTTTGGAAAAATTGTTGAGAGGCATTCCCCCTGTCTTAAACTCTGCATGGCACATGCCTTTGGATCTTGCACAGAAGCCCATCCAAATTCTTGTCCTGATGTTGTTGCTTTGGTTCAAGTTGAGAAAGTTGTACAAGAACACATAGGGAGGATAGCAGATCGCTCAGAGTGTGACAGATTGAAGGAGGAACTGAAGGAAGTGATGACCTCTTGTGTATTATACACCAGTCATTTGTTGAGAACAAGGCACCATAGGGGACTATAACAACTTGGTGCTCAACAATCTCCAGCCAGGTGAAGCAGTTGTAATTATCGATTATAAAATGAAACTGGAGCTTGGTGTACGTCTTCGTGAAATTCAAAGAGACTGGTATGGCAAGAGAGGCATATCTCTACATGGCCTCCTTGCCATAGCTCAAGTGGATGAAAACAAGAAAGTCAGTGAAGTCCTAGACTTATGGTCAGAGGACACCAAACAGGATTCCTGGTTTACCCAGAGTGCTATGGATAGGGGTTTTACATGGCTGCAAAAGGCATTTCCTGGCTTCAGAGTGTATTTGTTTTCTGATAAGTCTTGAGAATTGTGTTCAATAATGTTTAATAATACCAAGAGATTGGCAATTGCACTGACCTAACTTTTTCTATTATTATACAACAGTATCAAAGTATCATCCCATGATTTTAAAGAAATGTGCTGGAACCTTGGCTCCATCACTTAGTGACGTTTTTAATGCGTCTCTTGCATCAGGTATGTTACCACACAATTGGAATTTGGCTGACATTACTCCTTTGCATAAGAAAGGTGCTAAACGCGATCAAAAGAACTATCGCCCTGTCTCACTAACATCGGTGGTGTGTAAAGTGTGTGAAATGATAGTAAGACAGCAGCTTGTTCAGTTTTGGATTTCAAACGAGGTCTTTAGTCCACAGCAATTTGGCTTCCTGAAAGGGAAATCTTGTCTTTCTCAATTATTATCATCGTTTCACGATTGGGCCAGCGGGAGAAACAAAGGCTTGACAACTGATGTTATATTTTTAGACCTTTCAAAAGCTTTTGACTCAGTGCCACATAAACGCCTTTTGACAAAGATACACGCATATGGTATCCAAGGTCCACTCCTGTCTTGGCTTAGAAGTTTTCTCACCAATCGATACCAGCGCATTGTTCTGCGGGGACATTACTCATCTTGGACTTCCATTTTGTCTGGTGTACCCCAAGGAACTGTGCTGGGACCCAGTTTATTTTTAATTTATATTAATGATATTTCAAGAAACATTATGTCAAGAACAAAACTTTTTGCAGATGATAGAAATTGTATAGGATACTCAGGGATACTAAGGAAGATGTTGAAGAGCTACAGAAAGCTCTTATGTGCCTGGAATCTTGGAGCCATGTCTGGCAGCTGAAATTTAACACAGGTAAATGCGAAGCGATGCGCATTTCTAAAAAAAATGATTACTCAAGTCCTCAATACCATCTATGTGGTAACCAATTAAAAGCTGTATCTGAAGTTAAGGATCTCGGAATCTATATTACTTCGAACCTGTCATGGAGTATGCAAGCTAACAAATGCACAAATAAGGCAAATAGTGTGCTTGGATTCATTAGGCGAACGGTGGGTCCTAAAAATCCTCAGTTGTTTTCAAAACTTTATAAGAGTCTAGTACGTCCGATACTCGAGTACTGCTCTCCAGTTTCGTGTCCGCACCTTAAAAAAGACTTGAACACCTTGGAGAAAGTACAACGTAGAGCATCTAAATGCGCCCTTGGAAATATTGGGCAAGACATGCCTTACGAAGAACGCCTAAAGCTCCTTAAATGGCCATCACTTGAACAAAGAAGATTATTTTCGTCGCTTATTGAGTGTTATAAGACAATAAATAGACTTAATGGACTTGATCCCTTGGCATTTTTCACATTTGCACATGATTTTCGGCCCTTAAGAGCCAACCATCGTTTTAAACTTAAGCTTACATCAGCAACTTTAAATAGTTTTAAACATTCTTTTTTTATACGCATAATAGATAAGTGGAACAATCTTCCAAAGGAAGTTGCTGAGGCGGAGAATTTGAATATTTTCAAGAACAGACTGAGACGTTATCTTACAGATTTTCCTAGTGAACACTAAGTTCTTTTACTGTGTGATGTTTTATATACATATATAGTTACTATTTTAAACAGTTGTAAATAATCTATTTCTTAATGTATTTTATTATCAGGAGATAAACTAGAAAGGGATAACCTCTTTTATCTCCTTTTCACTTTCCGATTTGTATTTGTGAATAAACAGTTATTATTTTAAAGTGAACAAAAACCAGTGCGGTAGACAAAATATTGCTATCTTATGTCATTACAAAGTGAAGTCATTTTTGCAAGTTTGTTATTTAACCTTGGTGACTAGTTTCTTGAGTCGTGACCAAGAAATGTAGCTTTCAGGTCTTTTTTATCTTCACTTGCTTGTTACAATACATTGTATCTTCAAGGCCTTGTTGTTTCTTATTGCATGTATAGTGTTACATTTTCATGTGAGATAAAATTATCCTATATATCTGCTTACATAAAATTTTGTGAAATCTACTTCTGTTCTAATGTGCGTTGTTTGTGCATTGTTTTATTTCAACAGATAATGGACCTCACTATCACAATTCAGGGTTCTTGTTTTACCTGGCTGAAGCTAATCAAGTATTTGATTTAACCTTGGTAGAGTATAACAACTTTGAAGCAGGACGGGGGAAGTCTCAGCTCGACACTCACTTCGCACATACAAGTCATAAGATTGTACGCTGGGTGCGAGTTGGGAACAACCTGGAGACAGGGCAACAGCTTGGAGAGTTCACTGGGGTATGTGTCATTACCTTTGTCACTAACATGAGTTGAATGCCAATAGGAATTTCTGTTGAATGTGAAAACTTCTAGACTAAGTTAAGATGGCTCCTTTCATTGGTGAACAAAGGACTTTTTATCCACATTTCTATATTCTTGGTGTGTGGAACTTACTCATTCCTGAGAACCTGTCACTTTTCTGTACTAAATGATTTTTGTTTAGGTGCAAAACTGATAACAGTGATGAAATAATCTTCTAGCAATACAACAGCCTCCCCTGGAACATGTCACAGTCAACAATTGACAACAGAAATGGAAGCAAGGCTTGTGTTTTTATTGCTTTTAACTTTGGTCTACTCTATAAACAGTTCAGTCTGGACAACACCCTAGTAGGTGAAAGTCTCAACAGTCACTGGCAGACTGCTCTTGAACATGTCATAAGAGCTGGAAATGACATCCACGATCAACTGTTTGACTTTGAAGGAGTTAATGTGTCTGTGGAAGAGGGAATTGAGCTACCTGGAGAAGTGTGTCAAGTTGGACAAGTGCTTCGTGAATACAATGTGTTTCGAGCCAACCCCTTGGACCAGTTAGAGACAGTTATTAAAATATGGTCACAGCAATGACAATCCTTTCATGTTTTGATTGCTTTTGTAATGGCTATGCTTATTATTGTGGACAGTTGTGGCATTCTCTTCTTCATTGACTCCCATATTCATGTAACAAAAGGAGCAGTAATTGCACGTTTCAATCCTGACAGTCACTGTCAGGCACAGAATTTTGCTGTTTGGCTAGACCAAACGTTGATTCACACAAAAGGAGTACGCCTGTCGATTTGTTCAATCGCCTCAATTTTATATTCATAAAAATTGTTTCTGTGTGCAAAAATCTCTTCATAGAGGTAATATTGCAAGATTATTTTGCCAAGTGTGAGGACGATAAAAATCAGCTGAATAAGACGCTTTTTCTGTAAACAAAAAGATAAACGAAAGAAAGAGATTTTTGCTAGGTATGATATAGAGCTGAAAAATAACACTTCCGTTGCAGTCATGCTTCATCTGCTTCACGTCAAAGGCTTTATGATCACAATCGGAGGACAAAAAAAGCAGACAGTTAGACGTAAAGTTTGCCTTCTCCAAATAAATACAGACTCTGCGAAAGGGCTGGAGCTTCGGCAGTAAACTCGATACCTTTGAGTTCGAGAGCAAAAAACTTAAGCGCCTTTTGAAATTCGATGAAATAAAATCTTTTATGAGGTAATTTAGTCTTTTAGCTTTGATTTGATATATAACTTGCCTTTGTAGTGAAAATACTTGCGCGACTAGAATTTTTTTCTGTGGGCACCACGTTTTCCTTTACCGAGACCTTAAGGCTGAAGACATTCCACGTAGTTGTATTTGAAAAGAAGTCCACAGAAAGTCACTATAGGTGAAAGCCGTCCTAAACACTCTGCAATTGCACTGAAAGTCCCCATTGGCAATTTTTGTTTATCCGGCAACGCCTTGCTTTCATGACTAGGTATCAGTTTTCTACCACATGTCTGCCACTTGTGAAAATGGTGTATGGGGCAAAGTTTAGGTGTGGAAATAAAAATCAAATTGCAACTTACCATGT